AATCAGCTAGATGCAGTACTGCAATATGAATCAAGAAGAAGATGAACTCCAGAAACTAGAGTGATTCACACAGAAACTTCTAGAAAGGGGTCTCCTGGGCTCGGAATTAGGAGCGCTCTTTCAGGATTTTTGAGCTTGCTGGGAATTAAGCTAAACAACATTAATGCGAAGGTTCAACTGCTATGGGAAAAGAAGCAAACACAACCCACCCTAACCTGAAAGCTTCATTTCATTTAACGTGAAGGAAAAGCTACAGTTGTATTCAGAAGAGTGCTCACCAGCCGGGACGGATGATGGTGAATTTCCCCGGCACAGATAAGTCAACCACAGTTGACCCCAAACGACACTCTGGGCTCTGGACATCCCCTATCGGGCCTCCATCGATGATTAAGGACAACTGAGGCCACAGCTCTTGGAATTCCTGAAAAAGAGAGATGTGGCTAACAGTCCTGAAGATGGTTTGTGATCGTGTTTTAACAGACACTACTGGACGTTCTGGTGTCTCTCCCCTTCCTCTGTCAGGTCAGCTCACTGTTTTTCTGTCATGAACACATCCCGGTTTGATTTCTGAGAACAGATTTATCTCAGACACGCAGGAGAGCCGCAAGGATTCTCGGGTTGGAGACTTCTTAGCTGCACCGCTGCTTATTAAGGAGTGCACAAAAAAAGCTAGAAGTCTATCAGACATTTGGGAGTGAGGACAGGGTGTCTGTCTGGCACTACGCCCAACAGCACCATCACCAGGGTCACAAGCTTTTGCAAAAAGACATCTCCTTGAGTGACAGTTACCAGGCTGCAAGGAGCTGTACAGACAGCAGCAGTCTCATTCCACAGCTGTCCCTCCTGCAGCAATTTCCATCTTTCAGATTTGGCGCCCACTTCAAAAACTGCATCTAAGCCTTTAAATATTACTTTCCAGCTCTGCCCTCCTCGCTTTTTAAGGTGAGGATCACAGCAAGACAGCTACCCCACACCACATATCTGCTCTAACTACAGACTATCCTTAAAAAAATAATAATAGCAGCAGAGAAATCCTTGTTTTATTGCTAAAACTGGCTTCCAATTGTGAGAGCCTGGGACTCTGACGGACTACCACAATAACGTCACTTAGTGGCAAAAACAGCCTTACCGAAACCGTCAGCGTGCTCGCCTGAGAGCTGATGTTAGCGCTTGTTAAAGCCAGTGGTCCAGAGCAAGCTCGTGCCAACTCCCTGATAAAAGGGTGGTTTGGAATACGAACACCAACCAGCTGCAAGGAAGAAGGGAGCATGATTTTACACACAGTAACCGTTTTTAATCTTGCATTGCCTAAAGCCCTCTTGACTTAAAGGCTGATACTCTACAGAATCAATACATCAACACCTGCGGAACTAGCAATAATGAGTGACGGGCCTTCATCAGTTAGCCCCTAATGCTGGGTTATGCCGTGTTCAAATAAGTCACAGGGAGCACGACAGCACAGGGACCAGCTTCGGGAAAACGCCAAACACTCTAAGCACGCTAAACACACACACAAGAATAAAAACTACTACAGCAGAAGCACAAAAAGGGCATATTGTCTCTCAAAACCACACAGATGTACCCTGCGGCAAAGACCTACCGATGTGAAGGGATTCAAGTCTTTATTTAGTTCTTCTGAACGCTTTAAGACCAGGGTCACAGGCCCTGGAAGCAGGTCCCGCAACAACTCGTCCGGCACATTCACCTGGCAGTACCTACATGGCAAGAGGAAGCGCGTTAAAGGCGGCTGCACAGCTTCACCCAGACCCCTGGTGCTGGGCGCTGCCAGGCAGCTCCAGCGCAGCCCGTCCCCTCGGTCCCCTCCGCAGCACGGTAAGCACAAAGCAGCCGCTCCCCGCCGCAAACGGCACCGGGCAGCCCCCGGCCCCCGTGGGAAGCGTGGTATCTCTGGGCCCTCCGGGCAGCCTCGCTCGCACACGGCTGTCGGTACCGTACGAGGCCTTTCGGAGCCGGGCAGAGACCGGGGAGCTCCGCAGCCCGACCCACCTGTAGAGGCGGTCCACGTCCCCGAGGCAGATGGCCAGCGGCTTCCTCCCGTTCCGCCCCTTCAGGCTGTAGATGCTCCGCACGGCGCCGGAGTCCTGGGCCAGGCACGCCACGCCGTACACCGTGTCCGTCGGCACCGCCACCAGCCCGCCCGCCCCCAGG